CAGAAGAGACGGAAACAAAACAAATCAACTTAAGATGAGAGTTTTTTGACACCAAGGCCCACAAGAAGACAGAAAGAGCACAGAAGAGACGGAAACAAAGCAAACCAACTTAAGATGAGAGTTTTTTGACACCAAGGCCCACAAGAAGACAGAAAGAGCACAGAAGAGACAGAAACAAAAGCAAATCAACTTAAGGTGAGAGTTTTTTGACACCAAGGCCCACAAGAAGACAGAAAGAGCACAGAAGAGACGGAAACAAAACAAATCAACTTAAGATGAGAGTTTTTTTGACACCAAGGCCCACAAGAAGACAGAAAGAGCACAGAATGGACACAGCCAAGGCAAACCCTTTTGAAAAGAATGGACAGCACCTGGGAAAATTGACACGGCAACCCCAAAAGTATGAAACCACGCTTTTGGGCAGACAGCGCACCGGATCAAGGCTAACCTACTTGAGAAGAGGCGAAAACAAGGCAAGCCAACTTAAAAGACATGGAAAGCACATAGGAAAGCCAACCAGGAAAACCAAAAATTCGAAGCCAACAACACGAAAATCACATTGGGGCCTAGAGCCAGTGTTTGTCGCAACAAGGCTCACAAAGACAAAGAACCAAGGGTAACCCATTTAAAAAAGATGGAAAGCACCTAAGGCACAAAGAGCACAGAAGAGACGCAAACAAAGCAAATCAGCTTAAGATTTACAATTTTGGACACCAAGGCCCACAAGAAGACGCAAAGAGCACAGAATAGACACAAGCAAGGCAAACCCTTTTTGAAAAGAATCACCTGAGAAAATTGACACGGCAACCCCAAAAGTATGAAACCACGCTTTTGGGCAGACAACGCACTGGATCAAGGCTAACCTCCTTGAGAAGAGGCGAAAACAAGGCAAGCCAACTTAAAAGGAATGGAAAGCACATAGGAAAACCAACCAGGAAACCCGAAAATACGAAGCCAACAACACGAAATCACATTGGGGCCTATAGCCAGTTTTTGTCGCAACAAGGCTCACAAAGACAAAGAACCAAGGTTAACCCATTTTAAAAAGAATGGAAAGCACCTAAGGGACAAAGAGCACAGAAGAGACGGACACAAAGCAAATCAACTTAAGATGATAATTTTTTGACACCAAGGCCCACAAGATGACACAAAGAGCACAGAATGGACACAAGCAAGGCAAACCCGTTTGAAAAGAATGGAAAGCACCTGGGAAAATTGACACGGCAACCCCAAAAGTATGAAACCACGCTTTTGGGCAGACAACGCGCTCGATCAAGGCTAACCTACTTGAGAAGAGGCGAAAACAAGGCAAGCCAACTTAAAGCATGGAAAGCACATTGGAAAACCAACCAGGAAGCCCAGAAATACGAAGCCAACAACACGAAAATCACATGGGGGCCTATAGCCAGTTTTTGTCGCAACAAAGCTCACAAAGACAAAGAACCAACAGTCTAAAATCACATTGAGGCTTAAAGCCAGTTTTTTAGCAACAAGGCTCGCAAAGACAAAGAACCAAGAGTAACCCAAAAAGGATGGAAAGCGCCTGACGCACAAAGAGCACAGAAGAGAGGGAAACAAAGCAAACCATTAGTGAACTTGGCGAATCGTCACTTGGGAAAGACCGCTGTCCGGCATCGAACAAAACCTGCACGTCGCGACCGCGCCCGCTCGCTTCGCTTTCCGTTGCTTGCCGGACTGGTTTGCTGGTTTGCTGGTGACAGTTTCGAGATTTTGATTTGCAGACTTTTGGGTGTCTTGAGGCAGTATGTTGAAGTTAACGAAACACGGTAAAACACAGCAAAAAATAAGACTTTTTGGCATCATTAATGCAATGTTTTTTGACAAACTGGGCCCCGACTTTCCACAAGGGCATCGGATACAACAATGACAGAGAAAATGCTAAAAAAGTCGGGGGCATTCCACAGCACCACTTGCCTCACTACGCGGTGCATGGGAGGCACAAAGAGCACAGAAGAGACGGAAACAAAGCATATCAACTTAAGATGAGATTTTCTGGACACCAAGGCCCACAAGAAGACACAAAGAGCACAGAAGAGACAGAAACAAAGCACATCAACTTAAGGTGAGAGTTTTCTTGACACCAAGGCCCACAAGAAGACAGAAAGAGCACAGAAGAGACAGAAACAAAGCAAGAGAGTTTATGGACACCAAGGCCCACAAGAAGACAGAAAGAGCACAGAAGAGACAGAAACAACGCAAATCAACTTAAGATGAAAGGTTTTTTTGACACCAAGGCCCACAAGAAGACAGAAAGAGCACAGAAGAGAGAAACAAAGCACATCAACTTAAGGTGAGAGTTTTCTTGACACCAAGGCCCGCAAGAAGACAGAAAGAGCACAGAAGAGACAGAAACAACGCAAATCAACTTAAGATGAGAGGTTTTTTGACACCAAGGCCCACAAGAAGACAGAAATTGCACAGAAGAGACAGAAACAAAACACATCAACTTAAGGTGAGAGTTTTCTTGACACCAAGGCCCACAAGAAGACAGAAGGAGCACAGAAGAGACAGAAACAAAGCAAACCAACTTAAGCTGAGAGTTTTTGGACACCAAGGCCCACAAGAAGACAGAAAGAGCACAGAAGAGACAGAAGCAAAGCAAA